ACCCTCGACGAACACGGGCTACGCTCGCAAGGTGAGCGCAAGTTTTCTTGTGAGAATCGCTGTTTCAATTTGTAACTTTTCGTAACTTAGTTCATCCTACTGCTTATATCTTGAAATTATAACATTAAATAGATTTTATCATCTACAACGCTCATTTCGTTTCCGCCGCCGGATGTGGCTGGGAATTGTCGAAAAGTTAGTTCTATCGGTATCTCTTATATGCAATCTCCTGCGCGATAGCAGCGAGCCCTGAGCTAACGTTGACAGTCACAAAGCGACCGGGTTCATCTTACTTTAAAAATTAGTACATAATGTAGCTGGAATAAAATTTGAATTTGTACTGCTGAAACGTGCTCAGGCATCGATTTTGAATCGTTCAATCATTGATCGATTCCCTCCAGCAACGGGCCCATCTCGATTTCGCTTTTTTCGGTTCTAAACAAACGAGACGCTCGTCGACACGGGATCCTCAATTAATACCTTTAAAAACATCTGCAAGCCGGGGGGAGCTGCCTACGTTATTCGGAAATAAATGCATTGTGGTCGTGAAGGGATGTCGTGAATTGACGTTGGAAAATTGAAACCGAAACGTTGGCCAAAAGGTACCCCAGATGCTTTGTGCGGCACTGCGTCGCTGGAATCACTTGGATTTTGCAAGAGGTCTATTCCGGGAGCTTCATTGCGCAAACCTTGTTGAGAGAGACTTCGGGGAGGTGTTCAAAAGGCGCCTTTGTAATGCGAGACCTCTGCAGTACTTTGTATTGGCGACGTGATCGATCGAAAGCGTCGCGGTGGTCGGCCCCCCACGATTGGCCGAATGCTGACTTTAACGTCACCAAAGGATTTCTCATGGACGGAAATTAGGGTAATCTAAGATCTTCGATTTTGACGGTGTTGGCAGTATTGCTTTAAAAGCAATGATTTCCAGCTTCCACCATGCTAACTACAAACACCATCGAAATTGTTGTTCACAGAGTAATGACCTCACGAGAGGTAACCATAGGAGGGCGCCACCCAAACAATAGGGAGTATTCACTGGCGGCCATAGCTGTGTGCGCGACTGCTGGGCGCGTGCTGACGGCGAGCTTCCACAGTTATTTTTCAGCGTGCATTCCGCATCATCAAGATTGCCCGTCTTAGCAGCCTATTAATGTGACCTCGCTCTGAGCATGCGCTTTAAAGAGCACCCACAAATATGGCGTCCAGTGAATACTCTTCTGATATTAGTTGTTGCACGACAGCAGGCGTTTTTGGGGCAACAATTGAAAATAGTTCGTTGCATAATGCTTTAGACATATGTCTGATCTTGTCTCCTTCAATCCTTTGCTCATTAACCCGTAGTCAAAGACGAAGGACGTGTTCAATGTAGCTTGTGGCGGACCGGGCAGTGGCTTCGTAACGGCATAAGACTTTGTCCTGGGCATGCCGTTTGCGACTTTCTGATTTCTTGAAGGCTTCTGGGAAATCCACCGCGAAGCCGTCCCGGGAAATGATGTCCTCCCCGTGGTTGTTAAACCACTGCAGGGCATTATAAGGTGGTGGTGGTGATGTTGTTTTAATAAAATAATCCAAAAGAAGAGGTGGGATGCAGGGTGATAGGTTAGTCTCCCAGGAGAGGGGACATCTGTATCACCCTGCTGGAAAGTGGGGTGAAAGAGGGACAGAGGTGAAGAAGGGAGGGGAGTAAGTGTACATCATAGATGGGATCCGATTCTTCTTGATGATGACACATAGTCAAGGACCGCTCGGAGAACACTTGTTCGCACTGCACGTGATCCCGTAGGAAATAAAACCTTTGTCGTATTCGGAGAAGGTATGGCGGTTATATTCACATTTCCAAGGAAGCTTTTACGACAGTCTGCAAGTAATGGGCACGTCCATAAAATATGGCCAAGGTCTTCCACCACGTTACAGGCTTCACATAGCGGGGAAGAGGAGCGCCCAATGAGGTGGAGTCGTGCTTTTGTGTTGGCGCATCTGACTCGAAGTCGATGAAGAAGCGCCTGTTCTTTTCTCTTAATTTTTTTCCTCGGAATGAGATGTGGAGGAGATCCTGCTTCTGTCTCAGGGTCGGGGTGTAGCGTTCTAATGCTTCTTTGAATAAAAGAATTGGCCGAATTATATGTATGCACAAAAAAACGTGGTGAGCTGACGGAGTGGGCAGTTGTGGCAAGAGCATCAGCGTCCTCGTTACCTTGGATGCCGACGTGGGAAGGAATCCATTGAAAGTAAAAGGTGTCTCCATTTCTGCCTGAGGCTTGTGCAAGCTCTGCAGTTGTCCGAGCAAGAGGGGAAGCATCCTCCAGGTTCATGAGTTGGCCGTAATGCTCCTTTTGAATCCGTGAACACCGCAACCGATCGGGGAGCTGGAGGGAGGGGTGTCTCGGTGATTGCTAGCCAGATAGCCATTAATTCAGCTGTTGTGGTATCGAAGCAAGTGTCAAGCTGTCCCATGTTGCTGAGGCCAAGTTTCGGGACAGTGTACGCTGCTGTAGCTGTGTTGTTCTTAATGCTGCCATCAGTGTAAATATGTAACATTCTATCGTATTCTGTGTGTATTAGTTCTAGTGCAATTTTCCGGGATATCACCGCTGCTACCCGCCGACGTTGTGGTAGGTCAGGAATCTCCGAGGCAACTTTGAAGAGTAACTCCTGATGTGGTGGCGGCAGAGGTGGGACGTTTTCTGGATAGTCGATTGAGTCACGGAAAGCTTTGGCGACTTGACCAAAGCGAGAATGATGTCGGGATGCTAGTGTGTCAATGAATTTGGAAGTTGACTGGGCACGGTGAAGTCTAGTCATGTGACGTAGAGCCCTCTCATGGGCCTGCAGCTCTAGTGGTGAATCCCCTGCTTCAGTTAGTGTAGGTAGGCACTGCAAAGTTTTAGGGAGGCCCAAGCATATGCGTAAAGCTTACCTGTGAAAGAGCTCAAGCTTCTTCCATTGCGAGTTTGATATTGTCGGAAGAGGGAGAGCGTAGAGGAAGAGGTTTACAATAAGTCCCTTATAAAGGCTCAGCATTGTATTTTGACTGCTTCCCCAGTCACGACCGGCGATGCGTTGAATTGCACCGAGAAGCTTTTCAGCCTCTGAAAAGACTTTTTTTACAGCAGGTTGCCAGTTTACTCTGTTGTCAATAATGACACCGAGATATTTGACGGTGTTTTCTTTCCTAATTCGCTTGCCATGTAACTTCAATGATGAATATTCACCTAGAAGGCGTCCACGTGGTCGGTAGGATAGTGCAGTTGTTTTTTCTGTAGATATTGTTAGCCCTGCATAGTGCAAAGATGATGTAGCAACATTGAGGGCGCGTTGCCGCCTGGCTTGTACTGTGGTAGATAGGCGGGTGGGTCCAGTGCACCACAAAGCAATATCGTCGGCGTAGATCGTGCAATGTATTGGAAATGTTTCCGACTGAGGTAGTGCAGGAGGAAGTCCAGCCATCACTATGTTAAATAGTAGTGGGCTTAGGACACTTCCTTGTGGGATGCCTTGAGTGCTATCTCGTGCAGAACTCTCTGCTCTTGGTAACTTTACGTAAAATGTTCTTCCTCGGAGAAAGGCTTCAATGAAGCGATATATTTTCCCACCAATTCCAATAAGTCTGAGACGTTCAAGAATAATTGTCTGCGGAAGAGCATCGTAAGCTCGATGTATATCAAGAAACACCGCATGTACGATATTCTTTTGTGCCTTTGCTTGTTTGAGGGATGAGGCCAGATCTCCTATTGCATCTGTAGTTGAGCGACATTTGCGAAATCCCGAAATCTGATGAGCAAAGGAGTCCGTCTGCTCTAGCTGCCAGATCAAACGTCTATAAACCATGCTCTCCATCAATTTGCAGAGGCAAGAGGTAAGAGAGATTGGTCGGTATGAAGAAGCTTCAGTTGTTTCTTTTCCAAATTTAAGAATCGGCGTTATTGTCGATTGCCGCCAGCATTCGGGAATGTCTCCAGAGTTCCAGATGTCGTTGAGATGAGTGAGGAGTACAGTCTGATGTTCGGTGTCGAGATTTTTTAAGGCCTGGTTCGTAATTCCGTCTGGCCCAGGTGCGCCTCGTCTTCGGCAACGAGAAAGCACGAAGGTGAGTTCAGCGAGCGTAAAGTTGTTATCAATGCAGACGGTGGTGTGACATGCAATGTCCGGCTCATGGGCGGAGGGGGCATCCCGTGGAAGGCTTACTTTACGCGCAAACTCGTTTGCGAAAATTTCGGCCAGGCTTGACATAGTGATGTTGCTTTTAATAGCAATAGCCGCAAAAGGACAGCTGGGGGAAATCGGAGTGAGAAATCATTTTACTGTTTTCCAGGGTGTTCGAGACCCCGAGTCTGTGTTTAGGGAATTACTCCGTTGATGCCACTGCGTTCTTCCGAGCCGAACCGTGTGTCTTCGGAGCACAGCCTCTATTCGCCTTGATATGTTCCAGTCTTCCGCCTCGTCTGTTCGTCTAGCAACTCTTTGAGCTCGCCGGGCTGCCGCACGAAGGTTTAAATAAGTGAGGTCAGGGATGGGCTTCGTTACGGGGAGAGTTATAGTTTTGGTGGCTGCATTGAGTGCTGTTGATATCGCGCCCTCAATTTCAGGTATCGGTGGGACGGACATCAACTTGGATAGACAAGAACGATATAGATCCCAATTGATCACTTTATGAATTTTTTTCTTGATTGGGATACTTTTTTGAGGCGTCAGTCGGATAGGAAGGTGGTCACTATCCCATGGGGACTGCTCGATGTCCCATACCATTTGGATGTCTTGGGAAGCAAATGTGAGGTCCAGCACGCTGGCATTTCTTAGGTGTGCTCGGATAAAAGTTGGTGTCCCTGAGTTGAGGCATTTGAGGTCGAGGTCCCTCATAACGTCTAACAGTGCTGTGCCTCGTGATGTCGTCACATCGCTACCCCAAGCGGGGTGATTAGCGTTAAAATCTCCACACCATCCTAAGGGACCCGGACAGCGTGCGCGAATAAGCCGTATTGATGCAGCATCCCAAGGCTGACCTGGGCGAACATAACTGGATATGATTGTAACGTCCCGCCCAGACAAGCGCAAAGTAACGGCAACGTGTTCATCAATTACGGTGTTAATGTCGTCAAGGTTGACCTCCATTTGCTAGATGTATCGTTTCACGAAAAGTGATGCGCGTGACCTTCCGTCCGGATGGGGTGTTTTGCTGTGATATTCGACGTATGGTGAAAGCCTGTGTGTACCTCGCTGAAGATATGACTCTTGAAAAGCAAGCACATCCGTTTGGGTTTCTCTCAGGCGCTGGCGGAGTTCTGGTAGGCGTGGTTTAACGCTGTTGGTGTTCCATTGAATAACTGTAGGGAGGACTTGTGCGGGTCGTGTCCTAGGATGTCGATTGGTTTGGCAGGGTTTACCCATAATGCTGGTTATTCAACCCATCATGAAGCACTGAACATTTTAATACTGTTTCCATTGAGAGCAAAGCTTGAACTTCAGCAAGGCCGCTTGCTCCCGGTAGGGATCGAATGATAGCTTTTAGAGCCACAAATAGCATTTTAAGCAAACGATTCTGTTCCAAGTTGCCAGATGGCGCAGGTGTCTTATGTTGATTTGAATCAGGAGTCCTCAGTTTTGGTGGCCTTCGAAATCGAGGAGCAGGCGTAGGCCGTCGAGTTTCTGATGATTGGCTAGATTCTTGTTGATGGCGGCCGTTGTTTTGTTTCCTGTTGTTTGGAAGATGCGGGTAGTTCTCCTCATTAACCATCAGATTATGCCCCACGGTTGGCTTTACGAAATCCGGGTTTACAGCTGTTGGTTTGCGTTTTGGAGATTTGCCGTACTTCATCTCTGTATTGCGTGCAAATGTTGCTGCCTTCTTGCTGGGACATAGGCCGTATGATGCCGGGTGAGGTCCACCACAATTTGCGCAGCAAGGTTGACGCCTCAGTGAGCAGTCTTTGTGGCTGTGTGCGCCCGCGCAGATCTTGCATTTCTGTGGGCCTTTACAGTACTTAGCCATGTGGCCATGCTTCTGACAACGGAAGCATTGCATGGCGATTCCGAAGTACTCTTGTACGAGGTGGCTCGTAAAGCCGAGAAACACCTTTGTTGGCATTGGTTTGTCAGGTCTAAATGTGAGGATCACACTCTCGTGAGGCTTGACTGTTATAGTTTCATCGTCATTTCGAATGTACGATGCTTGTCGACGGACTGTTGTAACTCCGGAGTCTTTCAAGTACTCCAGCAGCTGCTCATCTTTGTATTCTCGGGGCACTCCTGTTATTTTGGCGACGCTTCTGGAGTATGATGCGGGAACACTACTTGTACATGGAATTCCAGCGAGTGCTGTGATGGCGAGGAGTTTGTTAGCTGACGTCAGAGATGACACGTTCATGACTAGGTTGCCGTCCTTTGTAAAATGGTGGGCTAGTAGCTTTTCTTGCGCTACGGCGACTATCTCTGAGGCCAGGTTGTTAGGGTTTACCAACCAAAAGGATGCCATGGGATTAGTAGCCTTGAACATGATTGGGATTCCTGTTGCTCGATCTTTTCTAGGAGATACCAGTGTAAATGGGGTGGGGTCGTCGTCCTCATTGCTTTGCATGTCGTTTTCGAATTCGCTCATGTCTCGATGTCTTTTTGCGCACGTAGTCTTCCGGTCAGAGATGTTCGGAGAGGCGGTGCAATTGTTCAGGCCAGGGTTCGACATTTTCTTTTACTGCAGTCGAAAAGCGGTACCGGCAGTCCGCCCGAAGGCGACAGATGGCCGCTGTTGGCGCAATATACTGAGAAGTCCGAAATATTCCAAGAAAAATAATAATATCAGCAGGAACGGAAAAAATGAAAGACTTGCCTGCCAATCGTCTTCTTCGTCTTTTCCCAGGGCATTATAAGAAAAACACAACGTTGGCAAGCTTGTCAAAGTCCTCCCAACAGTTGTGGATGTTGACGCAATCGTGCTCCTCTAAACAGTCGTCCATGTCAACATCGGGGGAAGCATTGAAAATTAGAGGGTCTTGTTGGCGGTGCTTTACAGGGGTGTGCAATAGCGGTGGGAGCTACTGTAACGTACTGGGTTCCCCGTTTGCCGTGGCGGTGATTGTTTTGAGACCACTACGAAGCTCAGGAGTTGAATTGGGTAAGGAGGGTGCGCAAAGGTAGAGGAACGTACTGGCTTTCACAACTTGTGAGAAGGCTTAGTTACTTTTTTTACAGTTCCAGATGAGTGATTGTATTGAGGGTGTAGCAACCGTTGTCGAGTTCGAATTCCTTCTCGGACACTCTTCCGTCGTTGTCGCCGTCCTTTACCGCTCCTCTTTTTCTTTCTCACAATACCCACTTCGTCGGCAAGTATCAAAACAACTATACGGGTGGATATTGAGGGAATGGAGGAAACCTGAGCGCGCAGGGACGTCAGAACTACGAGCCCCGGTTGGAACGATTAGCGGGTAGACGCAAAACTAGCTGCCTTATGCACTGCTCGAACGCGTTCGAACGCCGAGCGTCAGCTTCCGGTGCTGGGCGTTCGCTTTCGAACAGTCAGTAGGGACAAAGCCAGCTAGTTTCCCGAACAACTAATCATTCCAACCCGAGCTCCATGTCCTGACGGCCCCGCCCGTTTTAATCTTCTCCTCTCCCAATTTTCCTACCTGCATAGTCAGCGACAGGTTAACAAGTCAGTCGATGCTCCGCCTCGAGCGCGAGCTCTCTGCCTTCGATAACATCTCAGGTGCAGCCAAAGCCAGGTGGAAGGCAACGAGCGCGTGCCGGAGAAAGAGCTACTGGGTTCTCATCATGGCACCAACTATAAATAAACCAAGTGTAGTGCGGCTGCTTTCAAATTTCGTTTTCAAACGAGCGCCTCGCAACTGCGGTACAATGAACGTGTATAGATACCGCGCCACCCACTTCCGTGTAATGACCTCGAACCGGGTCGGCTTCGGCGGCGGAGGCGTGTCCCATCTTTAATCGGCCCGAGGACCGATTTTGGGGACGCGGTCGATGCGTTGGTCCAATTTAAAAGAGTACACCACGTGCTCGGTCAATACCGGAAAAAAAGATAGCTTGCGCGTGACGTCAGCCCACCCCTCTCTCTTGTGGCCAGAAGTGTGCCATAACGCAGCGGAAGCTATATAGCCTCACACCCTCCCTTTCCTACTTTGTGTCTGACCAAGTGACGTCAATGGAAGCTATGTCAACGTTACTAGATTGGCTCAGTTACGAAACTACTCGTACATGGCTTACGTGTGACCTAAACGCATCCTGATGGTGGTCATTGCTACTTGCTCTTGCCGAGAAAAACAAATTTGAATGTGGCAAGTTTAAGCTGCGGAATGTGCGCGCGCAGCAGCAAAGCCACCATAATGGCGGCTGATGTTGTGTCCATGCAAGCCATGTATAGACCAACACGCGGCCCTGACGCCACGCAGCTGCGGTGGCGCTGTCGATGGCATGGCGCATGCGTAGGCGTTTCGTTTCACGCGAATTCGGTTTCTGCGCACGCCTAGTGCGCAGAAACCGAATTCCTGGTGTGGGCAAACGTGGGCTTGTTTGTAAACAGCGTGTCGGTCTATAGACGCTGCTTGCACGAGCAGTAACCCAACCCCCCCCCCCTCTCCTCTGCCCCACGGCTCGCCTTCTGTCTTTCGACCCGCCACCGTATGAAGGGGGGGGGGGGGGGAAGGGGGGGCGGGGGGGAGGGGGGGACGTTTGCTGTGGTAACTCCAGTGTATTCTATGGAATCCGTACGTTTTCAAGGTCAGCATTTAGGCAGCGTTTCATCTTACTCTATCGAACACAATTTCGAAACAAAAATCTAAATGGCGCAATTCAAACGACGAGGGGGGGGGGGGGGGGTGTACTGAATGGAGTAGGAGAAAGGGGGGGAAGTTTCCCTCCTCGCAAGTGTTCCAGAACTAAGCAACCCATGGCTTGCACCTGAAGTCATCACACAATGCTGGCGGTCATTCTTACACTTGCTCTTGCCGAGAAAACAACCTCAGAGGTGCAAAATTGATGCCGCAGAAGGTACGACTTCAGCCAATACCACCTGCTAGAAGACAAGGCGTGCGCTTTTCGCAAAGAGCTTCATTGCTGGTCGATCTACGTACGTAGAGTCACTTATAGCCCCGAGCGTGACCAAAACAGCTTTGGTTTTGGTCACTTTGGGCGCGTGTCTTGACACGCTTCTGGCTTCACCTCTGGTGGCGTCATGTCGCCTCCAGAAGATTCGTACCACCATGCTCGCCGAGCTTCAGCGTGTTTGCAGCTTAGGGCGGATCAGGACTCACCAATAATAATAATAATAATTGTTTATTTCTTCAATGCAGCCCCAGAACAACTTTGAGGTGGTTCCGGGGCACTGTGTGTGGTCGCAGAGATATATACAGCATTTGATAAGAAAATTAGGGAATCAGCGGGACCTCATCGCGACACGTGTCCTAAACATGGTGCAGCGCGTAGTGAAGATGACAAGTGAAAAGAGTAAAATCACTAAACAAAGATCCAAAGATGGCGAGTTTAGATTGTTGAGAGTCTTGCATGCCGATTAACCAAAAGGTATTTCTTGAAAGTGCGAGCAGGACAAGGGACAATGTCTACAGATGATTAAGCAGGCTCACGAAAATTCAGAGCCTAAAAGGTGTGCATCGATGTGACCGTTAATCAACTCGTGCAAGACCCTGTCACGAGAGGGTCTTGACTTCTATAAATTCTGCAAACATCGTCGTAGTCATCATAGTACCTCCTTCCAAATTACTTTTCGTGGACAAGACAAATGAAACATTTCTTCACATTTTACGTTCGTTACGCTTCAGTGCATGGCAGTCAGCGAATTCCATATCACACTAACAAGCTCAAGTTTTGCACGTACTAGACCTAAAAACAACCTCACCGGGTTTTAAAAAATTCTTAAAGTCACATGGATAAGCGATATAGTAGGCCCATCAGTCGACCAGAAGAGGCAACAATAAGTAAACATAATAAGCAAAGGAAACTTTTGAGCCAAAATAGATCCAAGGTCGTGAAATTTCGTGCCTCGTGGGATGGCAGCCGTCTCAAAGGTCTGGGGGAATATTATTGTAATGGGTTGTGTGTATGCTTAAACAGACGGAGGTTAGTTAGCCCCAATGGGCTAACTAATG